TGGTTCTGAACGAGGAGGTCTGAGCCATTCTATAAGTTTAGGTGGCTCAGTCTCTTCCTGCTTTATTTTGAGAGAATGAACCTGACAGAGGACAAATCGTTCTGTAAGTTTAGGTGATCTAGCCCAATGTCACGCACATATTGGATCAGAGAGAAACGAATTAGGCAGAGAGTTAGACTGTTCTGTAAGTTCAGGTAGTGTGACTCCAAGCCTCGCACATGTTGGAACCCAAAGGTTATAACTTGGCTATTATTTTATTATTACTCTATTTAAGAACATGCTAATCAGACCATTCTATAAGTTTAGGTGGTCTGACTATAGCCTATCACAACTTGAAAAAAGTATAATTAAGAGTAAATCGATGGTAAGTTGGGGCAGGCTGAACTTGAGTTAGTTCAGTTTTATGCAGCCTTAGAAGACAAATGGAAGATGTATATATATAACTTGGATATCTTGAACAGTTCAGGGCGACTAGAATGGTCTAGTCATATGCCCAAAGAAGAGAGAAGTAGTTGTGCTCTCTGTTTTGTGTATATTCAATGGTTAAGTTCGGCGCATTCCATAAGTTTGGGAGGCCAGACTTTATGTCTTATGTAAGCAGGGTATAAAGGGTTAAATCCTTGAAAGATCATGAACTATTGTTGTCTGGATAAACTCGGGATGGTGAGAGAGATTACCTTTGTGGTTTGGTCTGCATGTGGCTGAGTGAGGTTACTACTTTGTCTGAGTTTCAGTTTGATAGGTAGTTTTAGTCGCTCGCCACGTGTTAGATCTATAGGAGTTAGTTTCAATTCTTGCATTTTCTGAGCTAAGTTTTTTTACTTAGATCAATTCTCGCATTTTCTGGGATCATTTTTTTTACTTGGTTTTGTATAAATCTTGACCAGCTACTTTCTCTACGGGAAGCGCTGCCAAAATTTCTACAAATCCAAGGAGTTAGTCAACTGTTGACTTGTCAAAGTTCAACTTGTCTTTTTTTTATATCTGGCCTAGTAAAAATATGGAAAGTCTCATTTTTTAAAGGGGGTGCTGCCCAAATTTTTGCTAATTCAAGGAGTTAGACAAAATTGAATTTTGAAGAAGTCAAAATTATTCTCAAATTCTGAACTTAGCCTTATATAAATTTTGGAATAGCACTTTTCTAGAGAGAGTGCTGCCGAAATTTCTGCAAAACTAAGGAGTTAATTAAATCTTGTCTAAGTTGAACTCAAAGTTATCTTCTTAGTTCATATCTGACTTAGTACAAATCTCGGAAGTCTCCCTTTCTAAAGGGAGTGCTGCCCAAATTTTTAGTAATTCAGGGAGTTAGACAAAATTTGACTTTCCGGAGTTAAATATTATTTTTGCTTTCATGTTTGGACTTATATAAATTTTGAAAAGACACTTTTCCTACAGGGAGCGCTGCCGAAATTTTCTTAGTTTAGAGGAGATAGATTATATTTTGACAGGTGACGATTCTGGCGATCCACCCTGAATAGGGGAGATTCTGCCATTAGTCTACCTTTGCTTTGGGCACTGGTTTAGAGGTACATTGGGATGTTTGGGTAAGGTCATGATATGGAGATTGTTCTCCATGGAATTATGGGTTTAGCATAGGGCATTGACCTGCCATGTGTTACAGGTCCTCTTGATCGTTTGATTCAAGTTCATGACTAGATTTAGCTTAATCCCTTGAGGATCATCTTCTGTTATCACTGATAACAGGTCGATTGCCGATTCCTCGGTTTACGATTCAACTCCAATTCACTCCTACCACTCAACCTAAAGGCTTTAGCCTTGTGATTGAACTGTTTTGTTGTGTTTTCACCCGGACTTTATTGAATGGTCATCCAACAAAAGTACTGAGTATTTATTTAAGAGTTGCACGAGTGAGGCTTGTATGGCTAAAGCGAGGGGTATGAATGCAAGGAATGGTTGAAGTTGACCCCATGTAGTGCGTGGACTTCTGGATGTATCTTTGATGTGATTGCAGGTATGGTTGTGGTTCGGCATTTGGATATGACTGCGTGCGATTACATACATATATGGGTGAGAGGAGCCCCACTGTGACTGTGAGAAGTGATCGTCTTATATTAACAACCCTCTCTCTCTCTCTCTCTCTTTCTCTCTCTCTCTCTCTCTCTCTCTCTCTCTCTCTATATATATATATATATATATATATATATATATATATATATGTCTCGAGTGTTTCGTGCGGCCTACTGGGACCCCGCGTAAGGGTTAAACAGATTATGGGTTTGAGAGAAAAGGGAGATCCCTTTTTATCCTTTGTTTTTTAAAGATTTTTATAGTCGGACATTGGTCCTGGGCCGAGATTCAATGTCTTTGTCCAGGACATCCCAAACCCTAGACTCTGCAGGGAAGGAATCTGCCCCCGTGCAGAGCCTATTTGCCTCACTCTGCACAGAGTGCAGAAGAGGGTGTGTGGTCTTCAATCGCGTTTGGCGGTTGTCCAGCGTCGAGAGATTTACCCTCAAGGCGCGTGTCAACCGACACTTGAGTGTCGAATGCGATCCTCGAGATTAACGAGGACATGATTATGGGCACTACATAATACGCCATTATTGCGATTGCTTGCGTACGTTTGCATTGCAAGTCGATATGAGTTAGCCCTGCGTCCGCGCGGTTTTATATCAAGGCTCACGCGCGACGCCTATCCGATTTCCGCATCGAAAAGTTATGGGTTGGCTACCGAGGGGCTAAGAGTGTTGTCGCGTTGTTTGTGTTGTGTCGTGTTGCGTGTGCGTGTGTGTGTGTGTTTTATTTTTGTGATCATAAAGTGGTGTGCGCGTGGTGTGTTGGATGCGTCCTAGTCGACCGACGACGAGCCGCGCTCGGGACTTCAGCCTCCCGAGATGTCGGTTTGCGTGCGGGTCCGATAGAGGCGTATTACCGCGCGTACCCCCTATGCTACAGCGAAGGAGAAACACCCTCGGCTGGTCCACCTCTGCGATTGCAACTGATTAACTTTCGTGCTGTGGACTGGTAGCTCGGCGGGGATACGCCCACCTAAGGGAGGTGACAGCTCCCCTAAGGTGGAGGTAAGTCGTGCCTCGCGTAGGCCCTATCCTGTCGTAGGGGCTCGCGAGAGGTATGGCTGGCGCACTCGGCCGGAGCGGCTTGCGGAAGCTCCATGTATATTTTGCGATGAAGGATTTTTAAACCAACTCCTGCATGACGCGGCCGGGAGGGTCCCGCGCTGCCCTGGTGCGGTGCCGAACCAATGCGCTCGACAGCGAGGCCCTAAAATAGGTCAAAACGCAATAGCGACATTCCCTTCGGCGGTTTCCTATTCGGGTATGTCATGCCTTTTCCAGTGCTCAAACTATCGGTCCGCGGTGGGGTCCCTTCAAAATGCGTCAAGTTTTTTTCAACCATGGTTAGCCGTTTTTTGTGGCGAACACCAGTTTCCAGCTGCCGGCCAGTGGGGTCCACCGCAAATGTCATTTTTCATTTGTTGCATTTTTCTTCGAAAATTGGCAAAACTTCGTTCACAAAACTTCTTGCATGGCGCCGTGTGACCAGCCAAGTACCAAATCCCCATTTCTCCAGACGGCCGCGACCTTGTCCCATCTGAAAAGGCACATCAGTGTGACGTGAATCATGCCCAAAACCTCAAATCGGCCCTTCCCAAATTGCGGATTTGAGGTTTCCGTGTGAGTATGCCCTCATAAACGATTAGCATGGCTTATTGGGAAAAGAAAAGGGGGTTAAGCATGGCCCCTGCGCAATCAGGGATGGCACGCATGTGTTGACCAACAAATTTCTTTCGAGAAATTCAGTCCCGCCTCATGAAGTCGTACGCGGAGGTGAGGTGCATTGTACGTGGACGGCCGCATGAAGTGCATCGTATGGGGACGGTGTCAGAACCATCGGAGGTCGTGAGAAGGAATATGTTTTGTTCTCATGAAGCCGCCATCGACTGTCGGTAGCGATGGACTCCGATGTCGTGGCAAAGGGCCAGCCTCCTTCACTCTCCGACAAATGTGGAAAAGACGATGTACAGCTATGAGGGTATCGTAGCAGCTTTCGGGGAAGATTCACCCGCCAAAGGTGAGCAGATGTGGATAGTAGCTGGTCCAGGCAAGAGAGAGAGAGAGAGAGAGAGAGAGAGAGAGAGAGAGAGAGAGAGAGAGGACTAAGGGAGGCGGGAGATTCAGATCTTAGTGGGGTGTGTGTGTGTGTGTGTGTGTGAGAGAGAGAGAGAGAGAGAGAGAGAGAGAGAGAGAGGGGACTAAGGGAGGTGGGAGATTCAGATCTTAGTGGAAGAGAGAGAGAGAGAGAGAGAGAGAGAGAGAGAGAGAGAGAGAGAGAGAGAGGACTAAGGGAGGCCGCCGTCTAACAACTACCCCCAACCTACCTCTGATAACCCACCACCCCGAAATGGGTCCACAGACATTGAGAGTAGGACACACCTCTTGATTTGACATTGGTTTCCCTACAAGGCAACCCTCCCCACCATAGGACTGCCACGGTATCACCATGCACCCAACCAACCCCTTACTACTCACCTGCCCAAGGGAGTAGCATCCATCCCACATCAACTTTCCCCCAGGAAAGGCACACGTCCCCACTCGAAACCAAGTAGAGGATCATCCCTTAGGATATGATGAAATGAGCATAGTCCGAGTCGCGCTGAGCTATTGAGGTCGTTAGTCTGTAAGGGCGCTATGCCAGGCTCGGGACAAGTACGTGGGGTGCAACCTACACCAACCAATTGTGCTCAGGGGAAGTTGTGGGCCGACAAAGTCGAAAGGTTTTTTCTTGAATGAAAAAAGAATAGACGATTAGCATGGCTTACTGTTGGGAAATAAAAAAAGGGGTTAAGCATGGCCCCGCTGCGCAGTCAAGGATGACACGCATGTGTCGACCAACAAATTTCTTTCAAGAAATTCTGTCCCGCCTCACTCATGAAGCCGTACGCGGGGGTGAGCTGCATCGTACGTGGACGGCCTCATGAAGTGCATCGTACGGGGACGGCGTCCGAACCGTCGGAGACTGTGAGAAGGAATAGGTTCCGTTCTTATGAAGCCGCCATCGGTAGCGATGGAATCCGATGTCGTGGCAAAGGGCCTCGCTCCTTCACTCTCCGACAAATGTGGAAAATACGCAGTACGACTACGAGGGTACAGCAGCAGCTTTCAGGGAAGATTCACCCGCCAAACGTGAGCAGATGTGGATAGTGCAGCGAAGCCCGAAGTCCACCCGTCGATTTCAGAGTGCGCTGCTGCGCCGGTTGCCCTCCATCATCCATGGATGATGCGGCACGGCGGTCTCATCCGCCTGAAGAAGGCGACAAGAACAATCCCTGACCACTCGAGAAGTGAGGAAGGACTTCTGAAGAAGTGAGGAAGGACTTCTGCAGACACAGAGAGAGAGAGAGAGAGAGAGAGAGAGAGAGAGAGAGAGAGAGAGAGATGGAGGTGAAGAAGGATGACGAGGATAGAGGAGCAATGCGAATGGTGACGAAAGAAGCGCAGTCGGCAATTGCGGGCAAGAGCAGGGCTGTTGAGGAGGGCGGAAATACTCTTGCTCGTGGCTATGGACAGGCCATCAAGGCCACGTTGAATCGTGTGGGTAAACCGGGGTGGTCTTTGATTGTGATCTCTGGATTGTGCATGATTCTGACGGTCTTTGTTCTGCCTCGGAGTCGTTTCTGGACCGTCGATTTCTTTGCAAGTTTGCAAGGCGGATCGCTGACCACAGCGAATTGGACGACACCAGAAAAGTTACCTTTCTGGGAAAGTTTTTCGTGCAATTACACTAATCTCCACGCCGCTTTTGCTAATTCTACTATTTCTGATTGCCACCGTAATTACATGCAAGGGCGATGGGTGCTGGATCTCGAGAGGCCGAGCCCATACCCGTTTTGTCCAGTTCTCGATAAGCATAATTGCACTCAAGCCGGAAGGCAGAATGACACCTATCAGCACTGGCGATGGCAGGCGTCCACGTGTCACATTCCCGAGTTCAGCGTGCGTCGATTTGTCCAAGCTTTGCACTGTATCAAGAAGCGGCGGCTATGGCGGAAAGCGAGATCATCATCCCAAGCAGGGGGTGCTGGAGCTCGTGACGATGATGGCGATGGCGGCGGGGAAGAAGGCGGCCAGGAGGCGGTGAAGACCGAGAAGGAGCCGAACACGATGGCGAGCGAAAGCAGCATGTCCGCCGTTCCTGAGGAGGCCGTTGGCAAGCCGGCGGACAATTTCACAGAGTCGGACAATTTCGCGACTTTGGCTTTCGCAGGGGACAGCTTGGGACAGAACATGTTCTTATCCCTCACTTGTATGATTGCCGCGCAGTACGGCCCGCCTGCAAGTTTTTCCACGGCGGACCACCAGTTATGCAGGGTATGGGCAGGAGAGCTCCAGGTCAGAGTATGCCAGTTCTGGGCCCCATACCTAGTACGTCTTCAAGAGCAGGACAATGGGCGGGAGATCCCGGGCCAGACCGAGCGGAGCCTTCCTCTTCCTCTTCCTCTTCCTCCTCCTACCTCGATCCGTCGTCATTCTCCTGCTTCTGTTAGTGCTCCTGGTGCTGCTGTGAGGCAAGTACACGGCGAGAGAAATACAACTGGCAGAGGTATAAGTAATAGTACTACTGGTAGGAGGACGCTCTGTACAAGTACAACATCAGGACGGCCAGGACGACAACGAAAAGGAGTAGGACTAGGAGGGGGAGCGGGAGTAGGAGGAGGAGCAGGAGTAGCAGGAGGAGGATGTTTTTGGGCAGGCAGAGATAGGCGTAATCCTACTACTACAGGTAGTCGGAGAACGCTAAGTCCAAGTCCAGCAGGAGGACGACAACCACAAGGAGGAGGAGGAGGAGGAGAGCAAAGAGGTTTTGACAGTGCTCCGTGGTGGGAACTCCACGTGGACAGATTAGCGTCCGGTTGGATTGCCAAACTTGATTCCGTTGACGTCATCGTTTTGAACACGGCTCATTGGTGGAACTACCAGAAGCTGACAGCTCGCAAGATCAGATTTGCGCAGGGGGGTATTCCTCGGCCCGAAATGTCGAAGGAAACAGCAGCCGGCCTGGCCGTACGTTTGGCGGCGGAGCATATAACCCAGCTTATGCGGAACGGGTCCTTCAGAGGCCAGGCCTATTTTCGCTCCTTCTCCCCCGTGCACTTCACGAGGGGAGAATGGAACACGGGAGGCCGATGTGGTGCCGATCTCCCGATTACCGATGACAAAATGATGAAGTTGTTCCTCACGAGGAGGCGGCAAATAAAACTTCCAGCGGAAGTTGAGGCCTCGTGGAAGCGCGCCATGAAGTCGTGCCCCGAGTGTGCGCTTGATTACCTGGATATCACCCACATCTCCTACTTCCGCATTGACGGCCATCCGTCCAATTATACGGGGACAGGGCGGAGCGACTGCTCGCACTGGTGCCTTCCTGGTGTGCCAGACACTTGGAACGAAATACTGCTGATGTTGATGGAAATGAATCTCGCAAAGGAAGGGTCGGTCAGTGACTAAAGGGCCTCGTCGCACCCTACTTACTGTTTTTTCGCGTATCCCACCTTGTTGCGCAAGTGAAGGGGGCTACCGGTAGTGGAAACTTGAGGAGACGTGGCAATGTTGGAGCGAATGATGGGAGCGCATTTTGGCCGAAATAGAATAAGTAGAAAAAATGGAAAGGTCCTGTCTCTCTTCCCAAAAATATGGCGTAATCCATCGGGTAAGACATCAGTGCTCCAAAGCAAACATAAACGTTCAATGGTCAAACGAGCAACATCCTCAAAGGAGAAAGAGAGGAAAGAAGAAAGAAGAGAGAAGAGAAGAAAGAAAAAGCAGAGAGAACACGTCCCGAAACGCGACCGAATTGGCCGTCAGTAAGTGGCGCAGCGACCCATTGGCCCAGCGGCCTAGCTCAGTTGGTAAGGCACGCAAGTGGCATTCAGGAGGTCTTGGGTTCAATCCCCATTGGCCTCATGCACCTTCCTGGGCAAGCTTGGCGCCCGCCACCTAGAGATATGCCGGTGATCCCCCCGAGTGGCATTGAGCAGAGACTGCTGATGTTCACAGGGGGAGGGGATCGAAGAAGCTCGGTCCTGATGCTACCGGCTGACCCCTGGCCGGTATCGCCCACCTGCTGTAGCAGGTATCGCACCTGCTGCTGGTGGGTGCAGCTCCCGCATGTTCCCTCGTTGGAGGCTTGAGCACGGATGTGGCTGCTACTGCTACGTGGTGCCCGTAATACTATAATGACAATAAAAAAGGCCTGAAAGGCCGTCCTGTCCAGATTTGACAGGTAATTGTTTGGTTGGGCTTAAAAAATTAGCCTTATAAAAAAAAAAAAAAAATGGCGTATTTTATTATTTTGTTGATTTTTTTCTCCTGTTTTTTTTCGTCCGTTGGCGGGCCTGGTCTGTCCGTGGCTGTATGTTTCATGTGAAGAGCAAGGGCCGGTCCGGGCGGTGGGAATGCGGCTCGATTTGGGACCCTTGCCTCACGATTGGGACAGTTGAGGCCGGAAACCCAACTCCCAGTCCAGCCAGCGCCCCATCTGACAGGCCTGTGCCCTCACGCTGTGTAGAGTACCGGTTGCTCTGGAAGGCCGTAGTGACGCGATTGGGAAATCTTTCTTCTTCTTTTTTTTTTTTTTTTCCTGATTGGGAAATCTGCCCTACGTATGTTCCATCTGCACGGACGTACTTGCCATCGCTATTCCCCTTCGGACCTCGTGGCTGTTGTTGGGGATGTCAGACCCAGAGACAAGTGGCTCGCACGTAGAGGCTCGCCACACAGGCTGTCGAGACTCTTTGAGTTTCGACAGCTGTCAGAAAAAAATTGGACTGTCGACAGTTTTCGCCCCCTCCACCACACAGGCTGTTGAGACTCTTTGAGTTTTGACAGCTGTCAGAAAGAATCGGACGGTCCACAGTTTACGCCCCCTCCGCCACACAGCCTGTCGAGGGGCAAGGTTTTTGGTCATGACCAAATGGACTCCGCCTTTCCACAGGGCACGGCCATCACGGAACAGTCCCTGACAAAGCGAATTCGAACGCAATTCTCGAAAGGCAGGTGGGTGGGGCACTTTCGAATTTCTGTCTCCTGCAGGCGGGAGGAAACGAATGGGGGTGGGTGGCTGTCAAGCGTACCATTCTGACACCTGTTGATTTTTTTTTAGCCCAATTCTTCGAAAGCCTGTGTGGCCATGCAAAATTGTCGAAACCTGGGTTTCGACATCCTGTGTGGCGAGCCTTGTAGTCGAGAAGGTTGCCACCATCTGCTCTGCCTTTGGGCCTCACCACACCAGTGTCGAAAACGGTGAAATATTCGCCAACTGTCAGACCACTTTGGGCCTTGCCACACCAGTGTCGAAAACCGTGGAATATTCGCCGACTGTCAGACCATTTTCGACATTCACCGTTTTGATACAAAGACCGCCTTCGCCACACCCTATGTCCAAGACCCAGGATAAGCAAAGTGGAAAAAAAGGAAAAGAAGAAGAAGAAGAAGAAGAACGCACCCGAAGTCGAGGCAGCGCCAGTACCCGGACCCTGATAGATGTCAAAAGCTGCACATCCTTCACAACCTCGTTTCCGAGATGTTGAAACTCAACCCGCTGCAGGCGGGCCATTCTACACCCATGTCGAAACCACTTCTCGAAGTGTTTTCGATATTTTTTCTTCAACAGTCTGTGTGGTGAAGAAAAAATGTTGAAGAAAAAATGTCGAAAACTCCAGTTTCGACATTGGTGTGGTGAGCCTCTTTGTGTATCGTCATTCAGTCAGAAACTACACACGTGCAAAACAGCCGCTATACCTAACCAGTACCCGTCCAAGGGGTTCGCACGGTGGGCCCTGCAGCAAAAACCTGCGGCTCCTTTGCGGGAGTCACAAAAACGAGTTATAATTGCACTATGGGGCAAGATAGAGTTTGCAATTGCACTTCGGGCACCCTACCTGGCCAGAAAGCTGGGTGGTATACATTGCCCAAACTGCAATTGCAAACTGTACCTTGCCCCATAGTGCAATTATAACTCGTTTTTGTGACTCCCGCGTAGTTCCCCTTTTTTTTCGGACTTTTCTTTTTCTTTTTCTTTTTTTCCCGACTTTTTTGGGTCTTGCCCACCGATTGCAATTTTTTGTGGGCCCGCCGGACGGTTGTGTGACGCGACGTCAGCTGCTCACCACCGTATGGGTGATGGGCCCAACAGCGGTGTGGTCCCACACATGTCGGTCGGTTCCTCCATTTGCAGTCCGAATTCTGCGGTCCGCCCAACAACCTCCGCCGCCACATACGTAAAATTTCCTTCCACAGCCGGAGGGTGGAGTACATTTTTGCTTTCACGGCCCGACCTCTACGGCCCCTTCTTTTCGATTCTTTTACACTACTACTAACGGTAAGTAGGGTGGGATGAGACCCCAACCAGAAGCTGCTGCTGTCCATGAAGAGAGGGGGGTTTGGGGGGGGGGGGCGAGATAGGGAGAGCGGTTGCTGGCAGCTGTTGCCTGCTTGATGTGTGTGCCAGATATTGACTCACCGTGAGGGCACGGGTGCCCAGCCTGAAGTTTGGGATTGGATTGAGAGGTTGCGCTGTGGGGCAGAGCTGGCATTTTGAAGTGGAAATAGGGGGTTTGTATGGTATTAGTGTGTTGAACATATTTGACATAATGTGTGACATTGTGTGTGTGTGTGTGTGTGTGTGTGTGTGTGTGTGTGTGTGTGAGAGAGAGAGAGAGAGAGAGAGAGAGAGAGAGAGAGAGAGAGAGAGAGA